AAAAAAAAAAACACAAAATACAATGAACTAAATTTAAACTGCAACCGGAAGAATCACACGCTTAAAAAAAGTTGTGCAGAACGCCTCTGAGTGCGTATAAATTCTGCAGGTGAAAAAGTTTGAAAACCTCTTGATAATTTAATGAACCAGTTCAAAATTGTCGTGGAATATATTTCCAGAACAAAATTTATTATGGCCACTAATTCAATATGTTGGTTACATTAAATTTTTAAAGTTTTTAATTTCATATATCACAAAATATTGAAGAACAATTGGTGCTGCCAAATTTAATCAATTTTTGCAGCACAAAAACAACCTTAACTGTTACTCTAATAAAGTTTTCAAAAATTCGGGTATCGATTTAGAAAAATGTAACCGTTTTTTTGAGAGCAATTTAACAAAAACTTTTTGGAATATCGCAATAACAATTGGAAATTGTATTAGGTTGAAGCAAAAAAAATTTACTTTATTTTGTATTTTAATGTCAAATAGATACTATACATTTTAATCTTTGAATGTTTAAGCAGCAAAGTATTCTTCACTGCATTTAGTATTTTTGCTGAAACAACAACAACAGAAGAAAATACTACAATATTTTCTTTGCACAGATTTTTGTGCACGATAACAAATAAAAATGTTATTAATAAAAGTAATCAGTTTTAAAAAAAAAAACTCATCTTATTTTTGAATGTTTTTTTGAAACAAATTTTTTTTTTTTTTGTTTAAATGAGTTAACACTAATCTGATGCTTATCGCGACAAATAAATTTTTGATTTTTTTTCCTTTTTTTTTGCTTGAAATTAATTTTTGTAGTTAGGAAAAGATAAATTTTTTTTCTTTTTTGGTAAAAACGTTCAACGTATTTTAAAGAATTTCAACTGGCGCTAATGAGGCTGAATAAGAAATTAAATAAGGCTTGAAAAAAAGTTCTAAACAAATCTAATCTCACAAACAATTAACTTACAACTTTTCGTATTATACGAAGGAGAGAAAAATATGGTGCACCAATTTTACATGTTTGCAAATTGTTTGAAAGAGCAGTAAAGAAAAAATTGGTACACCATTGTCGGTGTTGGCAGACGCTCTGACCAGAAACTAGACTTGTTGATGTGAAATAAACAAAGCGTAATAATAAAGAAGTAAAAAATTGACAAAAATCAACGAAAACTAAGCTGCAATATTGAAAGTTTTAGTAATAATCATAAAACCAGATGTAATAAGAAATTTTTCTTTTATTATTACTACTAAATTGCTGGTGAGCAGAACAGCTAAAACAAATTGTTTTCGTAAAACTAGTGGAACAGAAATTGCTATCTACCTTTTCAAAATGTACGAACAAATTTAAAAGTCAATATTGTTGAAAAAAATTATTAAAAAGTAGGCAAGGTAATATTTTAAACTTTGTAAAGGTTGAATAAGCTTGCTTTAAAATTACATGTTATACTCAATGTTTCTTAATTTAAACTTGATGTCACGAGCTATAATTTTAACTAAAATAATCAAATTTCTCGTAGCCTTTGGTGTTTGCAAAAATTTTTGTAACTATAAATTTTATGTTCATCTCATTTGTTCAGATTATCCGGAAAAGATTCCAGTAAAAAACTATCAATGCGATTTATGCAAAGAAAGCGACGAGCTAAACGATGCTTTCAATGGATGTACTGTTGTTGTTTTTTGCGCCGGAAAACCGTTTGAGTATTTGCAAGCGGAAAAAGACCTGACCGAACAGTACCAATGCGATAATTTTTCAAGTTTGTTCTAAGCTTTTTCCTCTTTTCAAATAGCACCTAAAAATTGTTTTCTGCTAACCTCACATTTAACTTTTATCTTTCTGCGGAAAGCTTTTTTCTGCTTTTTAAAACCTGTTTTTTTCTTCAACGTTTCTGCTGAAAAGACTTAAATATTATTATAGCTTGTGAATCGGTAATTCAAAAGATGAAGGAAAACAATATAAAGATTCTTGTATACGTTGGAGATGCGTATGGAAACCTGCCAAACTGTGATAATTACGGCCTTTCTGAAGCAATGCACCTTGGTGTGCCACCTAGTTTTGTTCTTGGAGCTTATGGCGAAAGTAGAACTAAAGGCGAACTTCTTGCTCGAAAAGCTGCCGAAAATGGTTTTTTTTTTTGATTAGGCTTTGTTAAATCCTTTTTCATAGCTACCACGGTAATTTTAAAATTTATAAAGTATACCACTTTAGTCTGATTAATTTACTTACTATAGCATATCTTCAATACCTCAGTACTCTGTTTACAGACTAAAAAAATCAATTTCAACAGCTACTTGAGAAGTTTAATATCAAAAGTTAGTTAATTTAGGTGACATAAACGGCATATTTCTTCGTCCAACAATAATTTATGGAGAAGGTGAAAAACATATGATTGGATCGTTTTTAAAATTTTGTAAATTTAATGGCGGTTATCCGAACATTAGAGGCACAGATCGAGGAAATCATCAATATGTAAATTTTTTTATCAGTCTTATTTTGTTAAGGTGACTTTAGGTAGTTTATAGTTTTTTGAGAAAATTTACTTATTTTTAACATCAAAATCTGAAAATCTTTACTTTACACAAAAGCATTTATACAACTGCTATGTTTATGAAACGAAAAAAGGTATATTACAAAAGTTCCAAAGTTTATAAGCATTAGGTTTTTAATGCAGTAATCATAGAATAAAACTTTGCGAAACAGTATAAAAGAAATTGTTTCTAAATAAATTAACACTGAAGTAGCATTTCTGGCTATAATTTTTGTTCAATTTTTTTGAAATTAACCATCGGTTAATTACATCTTTTAATGTAATCGTTGATTTTGCTAAGAGCTGCCAAAAGGTTAAAGAAGGTTGCAAAAAAGTTCAAGGAATAAAACTTAACAAACAGCAATGTTTTAGCAGAAGCTAGAAACTTATAAAAAAACAATATTTAATTATATTATCTTATTCGATTATACTTTTTTTACTGACTAAACTGATAAAAAGCAAATTTTCTTTACAAATTAGAATGGTTTCCAGATTTATGCTGGGAATCTTGCAGCGATGATCTATAGAGGTATTGAATGCTTAAAGACCGATGCTGCAAAATATAACGGGGAAGTATTATATGCTATGGATAAAACAGTTTGCACACCTTTCAAAACAGTTAGTTTTTTTGAAAAATAATAAAGCTCTTTTGTTTTTTATTTTTATCATATTATATATATTGTTGCAATACTGCTGTTGAAGAAAAATTTATACAGTTTTCAATTTTAAAACCGTTGTTGTTTTTTGCATTTAGTGATTTAGCACTTTGCTATTGAGGAAACTTATTTACAGGGCATAGTACTGTTTTTAATTTAGTTTTTTGAGAAAAAGTATCTTTTCAGTTTATAAAACCTTTTATGGAAATATTTGACATAGCACCCAGTGCTGAAACCAGCTACTTCATGGCTTTTTCTACATCACTTGGTCACGAGCTTCTTTACCGACTTGGTATGGCGGGAGCTGGAAAAAGACTGTCTTTTAGGGCTCAGCGTTATCTTTATGGTAAGACAGCAATTTTAAAAACAATACCTAACAGTTTTTAACTTTCTAATTATTTAAAAAGTTTTTTTAAGCAGTTAAAGTTGTTTTTTTTTTTTCTGAGGAAAATTTGATTTTTGCAAATTTTCAGCTTACATACCATTTATTGCATCTTCTGCTTATAGAAAACAATTAACACAACACAAATAATCGTTAATAGTCAGTACTAATAATTCTTGTAAACAATTTCTTTTTATAGGCTGGACTATCGGATTTCCTATCCGAAAACTTCGTCTACTTTTAGATATTGTGCCACCTTGGCAACAGGATGACGCTTTAGCCAAGACCTTGCTTTGGTATAAAAATAATCAGGATATTTTTCAGTGAGCAATAACTGCAAAAATTGTGACATTTTTTGCCACTTTTTATCACAATGCTTAAGCACTGATTTATATGTGATCTTTTATGTTCAGGTGGCTGATTATAGGTCATCAAAAATACACAGTTATGCACCTAGTAAATCAGAAGAATTATTGAATTTTTGTCTAAAAAATCGACAGATCTTTACCAGTAGAATAAAACTGATGTAAAAGCAGAATTATTAGGCCATTATTTAGCTGATAGCAGCTTTTTCAATAATGCTGAGACAAAACGACGTGCATTTAATTTTCAAACAGAAATTTTTTTAAATAAACCACATACGTTCAGTTATTTAAGACATAACCCACCAGAATTATTAAATTTGTTTATTTCTATAACCAAAGCTTTATTAGTACTTTCTTCTTCAATTAAACTTTTTTTGTCAAAACTTTTGTTTTCTTCAAAAATAATCTTTTGCAATGCCTTCCATACTTCAATGATACATCGTCTATTTTATGAACAGATTCATAGATTTGTTTGATCTTACCTGTATTAAACAAATTGTTTGTATGATACTATTTGTAATGTCACCACTAACTAAAAAACTTCTTTTAATGCTGCAATAATACAGAAATAAATTTATTCTAAAGAAAAAACGTTATTGAATGAGCAAAACATAACTGTTATTTGTTGTAATCTTTTTAACTTGTTCTTTTTTTTTTTTTCACAAACAAGCAAATTTGCACGTTTTACCACGAGATTTTCTACTCAGATTTTATCATTTTTTTCAAATTAAACCCAAAAGAAAAACATTTCTTGTTTTGCAAATGATATTTAAAAGAAGTTGCAAAATACAATTTACACTGTTATTTTTAAAATACATTAATTTACTGAACTTTATTGTGCAAATCAAATACCGTGCTTTTTTTCCTCTTTTTTTTTGACTGAAAACTTAATAAACAAGTATTTTTTTTAAAGGTAAACTTATTTATCGATCTCAGAAAAAATTTTGCAGATGCATTGAAGTTCACCAAATTTGTTGCTACTTTGGTGCATTACTAAAAATAAAAAAAGTGAAATGAAAGAAATAAAACAAGTTTTTTTTTTCTTGAAATAATGTTTTTTTCCCAAAGCTGTGACCTGATTACTATTTTAGTGAAGATGCTCTTAAGATAGAACCTCTTTTACCACTTGCAGTTACATTTCGAAGAAATACAAAACTTGTATGATGCTGATGTATTTTGATGAAATCATTGTAACTGGAAAATTGTGACACAATTTCTTGTGGTCTACGAAATGTTAGAAGGTGCCACTACATTTTCACAGATGACCAATGTTATTTAAAAAAAAAAAAAGAATAAAATTATTTTGTTTTAGACAGGTTGACTAAGTAAATGATGCTTATCTTTCAGTAAAAAACACTGTAAAACACTGAACTGTGTAAAAACACCTGAACACAAATTCAATATGTATTAAAAATGCCATTTCTGGGTCTCTGTCAACTGCTTCAAATACTTTCATGCCGAAATTGGTCTATCAAAATCAACAGTAAATATAATACAACTGGAATTTGAAATTTTCCCATAGTTTAAAGATTTGTGCAGCCAGTCACGTGTAAAATGTTTACCTGAGAAGGTTGATACGAAGCAACAGTGCACAGGAACAATTGCCGATATTGACGAATTCAACTGAAAATTTTTCAAAGACGAGGAATACATTTTCATATGTTTATTAAAATAAAAATTACCTGGAAATCTCAACTGTTTTGATTCCGTCAAATTTTGAATTTTTTAAAAACGCTTACAATTTACTTTGAAACAACGATATGATTATTCATTTTCACTTTTTTTTTCTTTTTGTAGTGTAAATTTGAAAGTACGCACTACATTAGGAAGCAGACAGTCTTCTTTTCAAAGTTTCTTCTAAAGATTGATCTACATTGTAGCGAACTTTGTAAAACGGTTAGTATTCTGACAAAATAGAACATAAAAGATTGGCAAGTTTCTCTTTTAAACCGAAGTTCCTTTATATGCTTTAGTACAGCAAAGGAGCATAAAAAATATTCGCAGGCACTGGTTGCCTTGATGAGAAAAAAGAAACCCAGGTGAAACATATGTCCTGAAAGCATGAAAAACCCTCAATTTAATTTTTCAATCAAAATTAACTCTAATAACAACAATAACAAATTTCAGAGCATTGAGAAATACCAAAATTGTGAAACTTAAAGTTATAATAACTTAAAAGATCTAAGAACTTTTTATTGTAATTTTTTAAACAAAGTTAAACGTGACAACTTCTTTTGCTGTTTTTCGGCACGTAAATAAACTGACCTTCAAACTGAAACCACTTACTAAAAACCCAAAAAACACTTTAAATTTACCTCAACTAAAATTAAAGAAAATTACAAGCCAAGTAACTGTTGAAGAGCCACGTCTGTTAAGCCAATGCGAACAAAGTGATCAAAATTCCAAAAATATGAGATAAATGGAAAACAAACAATTATAGTAAAGGGATTGAGCAAAATTAGTCTACGTTGGTACGGCCAGAAACCAATTGACGTCATTGACGCCTTGGCTCTTCTACTGAAGTCTAATGTTTCCATTTCAGTTTGACAGCACACTAATGCTCTTTCTCAGTTATCTTCCTTTTACTTCTCCCTCAGAAATCTTAAATTTGAAATTTCAAAGTAAAACAAGAATGACATTCGCCTGAATATTTAGTAAACGAATTCAGACCTACAATTTTACGAAACTTTATGTCGTCTGTAAAAGAAAGGCCGAGACGAGCAATGATTAAATATATATAAATGTATATAATTGTAAGAAAAAAAAATTTATTGTAACTATTGCTTTGTGCATCGTACGTATATAACTCTTCATGCTTTTTATACTTTATATATATATATATATATATATATATATATAATTACTTAATTATTTATTTATTTGCTTAAATATAGCAGCTGCTGAACTTAGCAGTTAACATTACAAAAAACTTGTTATCTTTACTTCTCATAATTATTCCAGCACTAATATCTGTAAAATCGTTTAATAATACGTACAAATCAAAAAGCATCTCATTTTTAGCACGAACACACAATTTCTCAAATTCGATACAAATTTTTTTTTACTCTGAAACAATTTTTTACGTTTTCAGTGACTGAAACGTTTTAGCGTTTAACGAAAACACTTAGAACTTTAATTATTACAATCTGTAAGTGAGCAAACCTTTTATTTGCAACTGGCGATAAGAATCGGGTAGCATAAAAAATGTACTACCTCACCATCTATTTATCATTCTTTTTAAATCGTTCAAAATTACCGAATAATAGATTAAAATGGTATTTAGAACATTCTTTCAAATGTCCCCAACTAAATCGACAAGAAACAAATTTTACAGAAGAAAAAATCAGCAGCTTAAATTTTTTACTTTTAAAAAACATCCAAATTTTAATGCATATATACTTCAAAAATTTATGTTATAAAATGCTTATTCTATGGGCATTAACTACGCTTAGATTTCTTATTAAAGTATTTCAGAAGCTTTAAAGATCTGACAATGTTTAAGACGCCGTTAGTGTGACGTAATCACTGATATAGCATCGTTGCTGTTGAAAGCTTCCTTAGTTACTCTGTTTCTCCACTAGTATTTCCGAGATGTTGGCAAAAAATCTTTGAATATTATAGTTTGCTCCGATAAAAATCGCATGAAAACAATGGTTTCTGGTTACGATTTCTTTGCCTAATGACGACGATAAACATATTTAAATAAATAAATAAATTTATTTATTTATTTATGTATTTAATTATGCTCTTAAGCTTTTATTCTTACTGTCACTAACAGTTTTTCAAGTAGATAACAAGAAGAAGAGCAAGGGTTTTCCAATTCATCATCAGTTAGAAAGACACAAAAGTTTGTGCCTCTCACGAGTCTTTGAAGTGCAAAATGTCATTTTTTTTTTTGGTAATTTTATTAATCTTTTATAACACAAATAACAGTCTAATGAGGTTTAATAATTGGCAATGTGTTAGTCGAATGTTTTATTCTTTAACTCTGTTAAATAAAAAACTGATTATAGTTAAAAAGACCAAAGAAAACAGCCATATCTAATCAAAGTGACTAACTGTCTTCGATTGGATTTAAACGGAATTGGAAAGCCAAAAAGAAGAAAAAAATGAGAAGAAGATTTGACTTCTGCTAAACTTATTTTCAGGTAATCTGATTATTTAATAACTACAAGTCTAAATCTTTTAGATGAACAAAAATGTTGGTTTTTTTAAAGAAAGAAGGAACAATAGTTCAGATTTGGATCGATACACCGATCATAATTTTGTGTTTGTAAGGAGCATTTTCATCGTTGGCCACTGTTAATTATGGTAATTTTGAGCAAACGCGATGAAGGGTTACACAGCTATGATGACGGCCTCGGTTGCTAATAGTGACACCAACCTTTAAATACCACTTATTTCTGCAAAAATTTAGTTAAAACCTCTTTTGCAATCGCCTCGACCACCATCGCTTTATAGTATTTGTATGTTTTACTTGATCAGTTTATCGTAGGTAATTTGTGAATAAATCGTATCTTCAAAAACAAGTGTTTCTTCTGATCACGAGACTGTTACCGAAGCCAATTGTAATCCATAGTTTTTTTTCTGCAGTATCTTATCGATCTCCGAACAGCAGCTTCGTTAATTTATTTTGTGATCACACAAAAGCAGTCTTTTCTTACTCCTAAATCTTCCGCTGATTAACTTGCATTTGCATTAGTTTTGCTTTATACATTCGACTTTAACAGCAATCTTCGTTGTCTTTTTAATGCTGTAAGCTACACAATTAGGTATTTTTTAAAGTTTAATTTTGTTGAAATATTCAGTGTTTGCTTTGTCACTGGGTAGCTGGTAATTTTGTGAATAAATTTTTGTCACTTGTCTCAGTCATCCACTGGCTTTATCAAACTGTCGCTGTTTAAATAGAATGTAGAAATTTGTAAATGCTTCAAGACGGTTTAATTTACTTATTCCTTATCA